TTTCTCTATCTCCTAGTTTCATTAACAATGAAGTCTGTGATATTTTCCCCATTGTCATTGCTCTGCAAGATTTCCAGAAGAAGAAGTAAAAGATTCAGATTTAAATTGCCACCATCTTCCTCTCAGTACTCAAAGATCTTTCTGCTTTCTGTCATTCTCCTTCAACGCATACAAGAAAGGTAATCTGTAGTCTAAAAAAATTCTCAGTGTGAAGCCAAATTAGCCTATATGGTCAAAATGCTTACCTTACAGACATTCAGAATAGCACAGGAGTCAAGAGTCACTAAGACCAACCTCCTCCTTTCACTATGAGTAAACAGAGTTGTCAAAAGAAGTAATGAGATTTGTCCAAGACTAGACAACAGAGTGAAAACAAGAAACGTTATGCTTCTTAAATTCATTACAGACTCCTTCAAGGAGGAATAGTCCAGTAAGCCCGAGTTTTGACATGGCTGAAAGGCCCATCACCATGCAGACCCAGGAATGGACGTGGCAGCCAAACTATACCAGACCAGTTAACAAATTCCTCAGAAAATGTGCTGTTTGACAGATATATAAGAATAAATAATGGTAGTGGGTGTGGAAAGACAACAGCAGAGGGTCCTGGCAAGGGAAGGATGTAGAAGGTTGAGACTGGCTAATCTAGTATAGAATTTCATTACAATCTGGGTTTTCCTTTAATTGTAGCGTTAGAACAGAATTTTCATCCATGTGCTCTTTTTTTCCTTATATGACTGCCCTATACACTCTTCTCTACTTCCTCTCAATCTCATCATATGATACAATAACCCCTCTACTCTTGCTTTGTGCATATAAAATTCTGTACTCAAAACAAACCAGTCCAAGTGACAGCAGTAGCTAATAATTTCTCATGGTCTGACTCTGTGAAAAACTGCTATAAGGAAGTGGCAATTAATAAGCTATAGCTTCGATAATTTAAGTGCAACGTTAGTAATTTAAAATTCATAAATCAAGAAATATATCTAAAGTGCCCAGAATGTAATTTATGTACAAAAATAATTGATTTACCCATGAAATCACATTCATTTCTTGAGGAATCTAGACATGTGTTAAGTGCTTGATTTGAAACTGATCTTCTTCTGCCACCAAGTGTTAGCACACACTTCTAACCAAAAGGTTTCTGCAATGTTTAAATTACAGAAATACAGAGTCATTCAATGAGAAAAATAAATCCAAAAGAATGTACCATGAAAAGCATGAGTAGCAGAATAAGTAGATTAACCATGCGAAACAAATATATTCTATGAAAACTATACAAATAACTTGAATTTTAGATACTATTTCAGAGATACAGTAATTAAATAAATTTTCTGAGGCTTCATTCATTGATGGAAAAAAAACTACAACTTTGAAAGCACAGTGATAACCAAAATTAGCTTTAAAATACACGACTACTTTCAATATCTTATGTAATACACTCCACTAGAATTTCATGAAACTATGAATATGCAAAACTAACATACTGACTGTCTCCTGATGTTATCAAAGTATAAAGGTGCCATGAAAAGTCTTACGTTACCCAGAATCTGAGTTTGAGAACTCAGTGCTCAAGCTTGGGAACCAGAATACCACACTGTAGTAGAGGAATTCCCATATCAGGAAATGTGAAGCAGAGTTTATTTTCAAAATTGTGAAGACAATCCATAGAACTTTTGGTTACCCCACCAAGCTTTTGGTTACTTCTACTGAATGGTATTACTTGCAAATAGGTGCCTACGAGCAGATGGTATCCCAGAAGCCCAGGGAATTCTGCAGCCAACATTAAACACCACTGGGAAATCTTCACGTTAGATCTTTACAACCACCCCAGTGGTGGTGAACACTCATGCCCTGCACCAGACTTTTGTTCGCATCTTTTACGCCAATGAGATGTTTTACCTTCATGAACAGACAAATTATGGCTCCAATTTTGAATCTTTATTTATGTAAACTGGACAATAGCTTTTTAGGTCATTAAAAAATGACACGATATGGTGAAAAAAATCAACTGAAGTACTACTGCAGAATTCATTATACCTTCAATAAAGAATAATGAATAGCTCATCTATCTCACTATCTCATAATCTACCTATAATGATCTAGAGCACTCCTCTACCCAGAACATCCCTTTTTACCAGTAATTACCACGTCTACCCTGACAGTAGTACTACTAGTATCTTAGGAGTACACCAGTATCTACTAACTACCCAAAATGATTTCCAGAGGACCTTCTAGCAGGTCAAAACAAAATATAAGCAATATACCAAATGGCACCAACCTTCAAAACAGAATCCTAGTGGGAGATATCATTAGCTCTTTTCTAAATACTCATGATGTACCACCCCTCCATACCACAAACTCAAGAAACACTCTTCAAGATAATGGAAAACCTTCATGTTTTCTGCATCTAATGGCTTCCCCTCACCCCTGAGTTGTCATGGGACATGTAACTTGCCCATCACGACTTCCTTCCATGCTCAGCCCACCAAGGATGAAAAAACAGGTAGTTAAAAATGTAGGAAAGTTAAAAAAAAAAAAAAAAGACAAAAGAGTCACATATTTTCAAACAATCTGCATTCAAAATGACAAAGTATAATAAAAATCCACTTTTATATATGCCGCCTTTTCATATTAGTTTTGACTTTAACAATGATTTGCTGCATAAAGAAAATGCTGGATATTTATTTAAGCCTGCAAGTCTCAGAGTATACAGCAGGTCCTCAAATAACATCATTTCACTTGATGTTGATGAGATGCCACAGGAACTTCACTCCTGTTTATATCAGTCAGCCGATGGGAAAACTGGTTTCATTATACCTCCTATCACCAAAGTTCTAAGAATCTATCGACAATGTAAGTAGGGACTTACTGTACTACTGTGCAGATCACCTGGATCAGAATCACCTGTGGCACTTATTTGAATATCAAAAGTCAAGGTTGCTAGGTCTGTCTAACTGCAGATCTGAAGTTAAAGGGTAGAAATCTGCAGCTCCACCAAGCAACCAGGTGACTCATGAATCCAAAAGTTTAAGATATACTTTCTTAAGCATTCAGAAACACTAAATATCATAGTAGTAAACAGAAACAGAGTTGTTCCATAAATTAAAAGAAAAAATTCTTATTTGGTTTTCTAAAAAAGCAGTAAAGTCAAAATTTATTTTCTGAAGATTGTATTCTTGTCTAAACAAAATACAATCTGATTTAGAGTTTATACACCATTCAAAGAGGGACTGTTTCTATTTTGATCGTAACTCTAAGCCCAGCACCCAGTGTCTGGCACACAGTAGGTACTCAATAAAGATTTGTTGAGTTAATATATGTGGACCAGGGAGCTCCTCACATACAGAGATTAATTTGGATAAAGGGGATGTGGCCAGTGGGAGGGAAAATGAGAGACTTGGAATAAGTAAGATAGATTCTACACAGGGCTCTGCAACTGAGAAGAATGTGATCTCATATCCTTTTCTATAAAGTAAGGGAGCAGATTCTGTGTAATTAATTGCCAAGGAATCATTTAAATTTAGTCTGAAATATTAATATTGAGATCCTAGAGTAGTTTTAAACACTCCTCTGATAAATGTTCTTGGGTGCTCTCATTTCAAAGTTAACATTGTAAAGACAAAGAAACATTTTGAAATGTAGATTATTACCTTCACCACTGATTTGTCAGTCTGTGATTAAATTTGGAACCACTGGGAAGAGGACAATCCATTTGAAAGCAAAACAAGAAAGATAACGAGTAAAAAAGTAAACTGTCAGTCTACAAGTTTTGCCAGTTGTTAACATTCCAAATTTGAAAATCTATTATTTACACGTTATTTTTACTAAATATTTTGGAATATTTTGGAATGGCACCTAATATAGTTTTAGGGGCATAGCTATCAAAAAAGAAAAAATTACATGCAAGATCTCCTTTTCTCAAAATATTTACAATATCTCAAGATATTTACAATAGTCTGTAGAAAATTCATAAGCACAGGACGGTCAATCGCCCCAACACGTTTTATAGGACCAAAAAGACTATCTGAGCACAGAGACATTAAATATAAAATGTGCCAAATTCAGAAAAAAAGGTCTACTTACTAATAAACCTGACCTTCATTTATACAGCTGCAAATCAGTCTTAACTGCAGCCAAGTGTCATGGAGAGCAGGAGTGAATATTAAACTGCACGCCCATCTCCAAAACTCTGGTATATCAGAGCAGGTCAGCAGATGTCTTAACTTGCGTGGGAAACTCCCTAGGCTGAAATGGGAAAAACAATGAAGGGCGCTCTTAAGATTCTAGGAAAAATGCTCATGAATCCAGAAGAAGGTCAAAAGTTATCCTAACCTCTGAGGGAGGAAGGGGTGGCCTGAGAAGGCAGAAAGTCACCCTGAGATAAAGTCAAGAAACTTGTCTTTTGGCCTGTGTCACTGTTGACCATTCTCAGGGAGAACACTTTTAAGTACAGGGGTCCTTTCAGTTACCCTCCTGCAAGTCCCAGGAACACCGGCTCCAAGCTCTCAATGGAGACAACTGCGAAAGAGTAAGGTGGTCTTTGGAAGAGCTACGTAAAGGAGGTTAAAAATCTTGTCCCATTCTGAAGAACCCAGTTGCAGTGAGCAGCACCAGTGGATGCAGGTCAATGGAAGAAGCTTTGAGAGCAGCAGGATATAAACAATCATAAGCAAAGAAAAAAAAACAAAATAAAACTGGTGCCACCTCTGGCTCTTCGAGGGATGAAGCAGATGTGGCAATAGACGAAGCAGCAGCAGTAAGTGTTGGTCAGAATACACAGCTAATAGCCAAAGGCAAAAGAGGGAACAGTTAGCACAGTCTCCATAGAGGCTCGTGAGCCAACTCAGCATCCTTGGGAATTGGACCCAAACGGGCTTGTAATCCCACGAGCAATAGTTTTAGGATGTCAAAAACCACGACATATGTCACTCATGGCCCCAACCATGCTTAAGTCTGGGGTAGCCAGTAAAACAAGGCTTACAAGAAAAACGTCCACTCACCTTCTTCCGGAGCCATGGTGTTTTGGACAATTTCATGAAGGTCAAATGAGGCTTGAAACTTCTGTTTTCTCCTACCAAGATGCCTTTTTCTTGAAACGTCCTTTTTGCAGTCTCTGAAAAAAAATTTTTATAAAGAAAACATAAAACATGCTACTAATAATACATGACTATCTTTATAAAAATGGCAATTAGAAAAACAACAAATTATCTTATAATGAAGATTAGTTTATATACCTGTTTGAGACATTGTTTTTTAAAAAGACAGAAAACAACACAATATGTATATAATAACAAACATTTATGACAGTTAAATTTGCACTGATTTCAAGCTTTGGGTAAAGCACACAAAAACAACAAACTGAAAGGCAAACTTTTAATAAATGGAATGACTATTTAGCTGATAAGATGTTGATTTTCATTGAATATACCAGTGGTGCCAATATGTATTAAAAAAGGACTAGCTAATCTATACTCCTTCATATCTAAAACTGCTGCTTCTGCCCAAGATGGAATAACAGGAATCAGATTTGCCCTCCCATCTGTAACAACCAATAAAAAGACAATTATGAAACAATGGCTTGCAAGACGCTGTACATCAGTCAGTGCAGGTCAGTGAACACTGAGAGATGAGAAACAAACAAGACGAGCCCTTTGACTGCCTGGCTTACATACGTGAGTGTTTGGCCCCTGTGCAAGGAGGAGAAACCCAGATGGAGCCAGTCACCTCACTGGGTTCATGAAAAAGAGCTGAGAGTAGGAGAGACCAAAGCATCTGGAGATCACAGGATAGAGTACTAGAGAAGTGAGACCTGCACAGAGAGAAAAGTCTACAGAGCTGCAAAGGGTTCCCTTGAGTATTCAGCTAGCACAGACCAGCATATATATGTCAGCAAACTATGTAGGACATGTCCTTAAAAACCCTCCATTTCAAGTCACTGCCACCAAAGGATTTTTCTTCTTTTCTATGGTAATAAAGAAAGTTAAGCAATAGATAATTAAAATGCCAAGAAAACACTGGTTCTCAGTTGCAAGCAACAGATGACAACCTTGGCTGAGCTAAGCAGGAAAGGAATCTATATAAGAACATTGGGAGGACTAGAGCACCAGGCTGGAAGGCTATGGCGCCAAGGAGATCGCGAGAGTTATGCAGGGGAACAGATCCAGTGACACCACTACATCTTCCAGCTGATACTACTGAAACAGTGCGCAGCATATAAAGGGCTAGAACTGCTGCCACCTGCCTTAGACTGGTGGCAGGATGATACAACCTATCCTGAGAATGGATTCTGCACCATTCTTCTTTGTTCAAGATACTAGATTCCAATTCGAAGTCTAGGCTAAAGCAAGATCATGTTTCTAGCACCGAAGGAATCTGTGAAAGAATGTATTTGACATGGAAGATGTTGGGGAAGAGTTTAGATGTTGGGCATCCAAAAAAGAAAGGCAACGGTCCAGCATACACAGGTTTTAAAACAACAAGAGTGTACTGATAACAATTACTGTTGTAATTTACTTATCAACTTTCAGTTCATATAAATTGCAGACAGGTATATCTTTTCTCCACTATCCTGTCATGACCCAGCTTTGGCCCTCTCTATTTTGGCATATTCTCAACTGTTTTAAATAGACCTGGAGTTAAAATATTAGGCCGAATCATACAAACCTGTCGTTTTTAGGAGTCAAAAACAAACACCGGCAATGTCTGATGGTGTAACATATATCATGGTAAACTAACTTATTAAGTTACTAGTATTTGAGTGAAGGCATTAGGGCATATTTTCTAAGTCTTCAAGTATTTGAGGAATTATAAAGGAACTTCTGATAGAAATTTAGTAACATGTTTATACCATCAGAAAACAGAAATATCATGAAGGTATGAAAATAAAAATTCATTTGTTCAGTCTTTTACTGAGCACTTCTCATATTTGTCAGGCACGTTATCTGCTAAAGACAGCAAACGCGTCCCTGCTTTCATGGAGTTTGTAGTCTCATGGGACAGAGTTCAGCCTCATAAAGAGAAGGACTTAATTGTCAGAATTATCAACAAATACAAGAGACATAAAAAAAGGAATTAACAGAAATTAAAATAGTAGGCATTTGCATTATTCATTACTGTATACATTAGTTTTTACATATTTTATTTGAGATAACAATCTTATTATCAATTGATTCTAAAGAAAAAAATTTTCAATTTACTGATTTCAGTTACATCAAATTTTGACCCAAGAGTTCTCATTATTCACTGGGCCTAAAATCGTTGATGATGGCTATCTATTCACAAGACTATTTTAAATAATATTTGTCACAAAAAAGTACATTTAATTTTTGTTAATGTGTTTTTCTAGTACAGATATTCTCTAGGTACATAAAAACAGGGAAAAAGAAAATGCTGCCTTTTTGAAAAGTACTTCCTAGTATTGATTTTATATTCCTAATACATTATAATCTATGGCTTAGGCAAAGTATTGAGTAATGGTTATTGGAACATCATTCTTGAGATAAGAAGAGTTTTTACAACATGTCATTTTCATCTATGTAAATGTATGTTCTGGAAGAGAAGCTTATGAATAATTTGAGATTATTCAATTCCTCCTAATATGACAGACATTCCTTCAAGCACTAAATAGAAAATCACAGAGCAAATACATCAGATATCCTCCAAAAGTTAGCTAGGAATTCTTCCTAAATATATTTACCTTATAGCTAAAGATGCGAATTGTCTGAAAAACAATTTCTTAAAATATTTTTTAAATACCAAGAGACGTTGCTAAATAATATAACACTAAAAGGAATAATTTAATAAAGAAATGAAACTTTTGTTATCCTAACAAATAGTTTTATATTAGATTTTTTGTGGTTATTGAGCATGCTAGGTACTGAGAAGTTTTACCTGTTTTTTTTTTTTTAAGTTTTATATATATATTTATTTTTATATAGAAGATTTTCTTCAGATGAACTCTTTTAAATATGTAGAAAGAATAAATGTGTACCTAAAATGTAAAGAAGTTGCTAAAAGTTGTCTCAATGTACACTGCAACAGATCGATTTTAATAAAAATCATGTATTTTTAATTATACATACTTTCTAGCAAAGAAAATATTTATTTTTTTCTCTCTTTTGCCATTTTTCCCTTTTTCTAAAATTGTGAAGGATATTTATATGATAGCATGATCTATAATTTGAGAATAAGCCCAAAGGTTTATTTTTTATTGAGGTATACAAAGAGCTTTATTAATAAGAACAATCTAGAATACTAATGTAAATTAGGTGGTCCTAATATATTCTTAAATCTACATATTCTATTTCAGTATGTGGATGCAACATAAATAATAAGTTATGTTTTGGTTTTAAAAAGACTATTTGTGATTAAACAATATACCATACAATAGGAAGTGGCAAGTTCTTTCCATGGTTTCCAGTTGAGAAATACTTTCTAATACCATTGTAAGCTATAGTAAAATTATGTCACATATAATATGAAAAATCTCAATAAAATTTTAGAATCACTTTTTAGCTATCTAAAGCTTTAAAGAAATAAAAACTAACTTTTCTTTTGTCATTCCTATGTTATTATTACTTAAAGGATTCTTATTTCCATATGCTGTTTAAACTGTTATTTCCATATGCTTATTTCCATATGCTGTTTAAACTGTTTCATTTTAAATGGTTTTTGTAAGTCATCTATACATAAAGGCTGACATAACATTAAAACAAACTTCAATTTAAAAATTTAATACTCATCAATTTAAATAGATATTTCCAATTGATTGCTGTGTAAAATTGTCAAATAGAATTTTTAAATGTCTCATTCTTAAAAGCAAGCTTTTAAAATTACACCTTGATACCAGAGGAATCACATTCATTCCACTAAAATTGAGAAAAAAAGATAACCAAATTGAGCATTTTAACACCAGCCCAGTTCTATTATTCAACTTGTGTTCTTGGACAGGTCATTTAACCTTAACGATAACAGTGATGAGGCCACAAGTTATCTCTCGGGTCCCTTCTTATCCTAATAACCAGCTAATCCAAGCTCTAGCACATCATCTGTAGGGGATTCTAGATACCAAGACTGGATTTTATTCTCATGTAAAGATTTAGACATGAATATAAATGAGGGAAGAGAGATCATCTAAGGTTAAATATTCCTTCAATTAGATTCTCATGTTTTACCTACTTTTTTATTGGTTTATACATCTCTTAAAAAATATTTATTGAACCTCTATTATGTATCATGCTCTGAGAACAAAGATGAAAGATTCCCTCAAAGGGCTTTCACTCTAGTTGAGAAAGACAGATTTCTAAACAACCAAATGCAATGGTATTAGTTTCTACAGCAGATATTTATTTACCTATAGGCCTTGGGAGGAAATTGTCATTGCTACTTTGAAAATCAGAAAAAGCCTTTATTTTGGAAGTGAAACTTGAAGTGAGTCTTACAAAAGATCAGTGATGCAAACTGGAAAAGAAATTAAGCAAACAATTGCACTAATAATAGTAGCAAAAATAATAAAATACTTAGGAATAAACTTTAACAAGGAGGCAAAAAAACTTACAAACTGAAAACTACAAAATAGTGCTGAAAGAAATTAAAGAAGATACAAATAAATGGAAAGACATTTCCTGTTCATGGACTGGAAGACAATGTTACTAAGATGTCAATACTATCCAAAATGATCTATAGTCCTTATTAAATGTAATCCCTATCAAAATTCCAATGGTGCTTCTGGAAGAAACAAAAAAAGTCATCCTAAAATTCATCTGAAATCTCATGGTATTTGAGTAGGTTGTAACCTACGGCTGCAGGAGGTTAAAGAAAGGAAAGTAAGCACAGCTAAAGAATTGGAGGCAAATAATACAGGCTACTCTTTTAAAGATTTTGGCTAGCAAGGGTAGGAGAGGTACGATGCAGAAGCTAGTGGGAGATTCAAGATCAAGGAAGAGTATTTTTTTTTGTTATTTCTCAGGCTTTTTGTTACTTGTTTATTTGTTCAGGGATAGGAAAGATGTTATCAAGTTAATAAAGTTGGGAGAAATGACCTGAAGAAGAGAAAAGGATGAAAATACAGACGTGCAGGAGAGAGAAGAAATAACTAGTAGAGCAAGTTCCAGA